TGGGTTGTTTTGACCCAGCGGTTGGGTTACTACCCAAACCAATTGCTGGGTTTGTCCCTATTTTACCCAGCACTGGGTTGTATTTAACCCAGCATTTTTTAGAGTGTAGGTTTAATTTTCATTATTTTATTTTTTTCTCATGCTTACTTTATTTATTTTGATAACTGTGCTCTCTTTTTTTGGAACAGAAATTCCCATTGCTCCACCAACCACCACTGCAAGCAGCACAGAGGAACCTTCAGGTTAGTTCCGATCTTAGCCTCATATGAGAAGAATATAGTTAGAATAAATCTGATGTCATGGGAGATCTTATACTGGACTGCTCACTATTCAAAAATGCTAGTGGATTCACACTTGTTTTGCTTTGTAAAGGTTCCTTTCGAATCATGTCTGGATAGGCCACTTGTAAGTATCCGAGGACTGAGAACTTAGGGCCAGTTTTACTAACAGCTTGCGCCAGCGCAAACTGTCTTTTGGTGTTATAATACTACTGTCAGGTTTAACAAAGACGCGCAGTGACAAATTAGCACTGAAAAGTTATTTTTGCGCCTGACCTTATTGAATATGCATTTGTAGGAGTTTCCCTTTCAGACGCAAAATTTATGGGAGGGGAGTATTAAAATGACAAAAAAGCATGTCTTAAACTATTTTGCGCTTGATATGGCTGCAATTATTGTTGCTAAAGGAGGCACCGCAGAGAACAGAGAGCGTGTGAAAGAAGGGAGAGGATTTTTGTCCACACGTATTAATTTATTTGGAATGCCAGAAGAACACATTATCCGAACATATAGTTTGCCAAGCCGTGTTATTTTTAAGTTGCTTCAGGAAATAAAAGACGACTTCGAACCCTCAACTAGGAGTCACGTAATACCAGATCTATCAAAACTTCTTGCAACCCTTCATTTTTTGGCCTCCGGTTCTTTTCAATGCACTGTGGCTTCTTTATTTCTTTATTGTTTATTTGTGACTATGCTAATTTGCACTGCGCTTGGTATATTGTGTTGGTCGATATGTAAATGAGATGTTGCATCTGTGTTCTTTGATTTGTGCGTTGTTAGTAAATCACCCGCAGAAATTTCCACGCCCATCGGCGCTGTTTTGGAATTGCGCTCTCGTGCTAATTTGCCCTGTTTAGTAAAACTTGCTCTAAATGTGGTGCTTTAGAGGCCTTTTTTAATTGATTTTAAGGTTTTTCTCATTTTTGTGCGTAAAGTGGGATTTGATTCATTCTAACCCATTATGAAAGAGGAACTGAAATTTTTAAGGGGATCTATTTTTACAGTTACATCCCTTGACGTGTTCGTTCTTGCCGCAGATGTTTTATAAATACGCCTAAAAGTAAGCAGAACGTCAGACTTAACCTCCATGCCTGCCAAATGATTTCATTCAGCGTCAGACAGTAAAACACTGTCCGCAAATATACAAACGCTTCCCTAAAATTTCTTGCAATTACAGACTAAGTGTCTCCTGATCAGATGTTTAATTTCCCAAGTTTTCTTCCCTGAGCCATCAGCTTCTCTCTTTTTTTTCCAACATAGTATTTTCAACATAGAGAGTGAACATGCTTTAGTTTGCCCGTATGGAAAGTTTTTGTTGAAGAAATATTCGTCATTCTCACGGACAGAGGAATTCTAGCGTGCAAAAAATCTTTGCAGCTGTTGGTTGATCGTCGCAGACCTCTAATGCTTTACTGACAGATAAGATTGACAGCAGAGCTGCTGGTATTCTCTCTCTCGTGGACCTTACTTCATTCTTTTCTGGGATATTTTCTCTGCCCCCACATTTTTCTTCCATCGTCTTTTATTCTCTCTATATTTCTTCCTCCTTTGTCCTAAAATACCGACTCACTCTTCTCTAGCCCATCTGAAACCAATTCTGTGTTTCATGACTGGTAGTTTGGCTCTTGCCAAATGTCAGAACTGCATTGTGAAAACTGACTTTCTTTAATGGACTATCAATGATTTGAGATAGAGGGTGTTATGACCCATGCAAAATAAACAAATAGGCAAAGCGGAGGGAAAAGGTTAAAACATTTACCACAATGTGTTTCCATTTGTCATGGCCTGACCCTAAAGCATATGGCAGCACATGTGTAAAACTAAACTTGCATTGTGCTCGTCTTAGTATTTTTGTAGAAAAGAAAAAGCAGTGCTGAAAAAAAATAAATAAAATAAAAATTCTCTCTATACTGTATAATTTGTCTATATTTTATATTAATATGAAAATAATAATTTTTATTTATTTCTAAGACTGGTACAATGCAGATATTATCTATTTTATTAGATATTATTTATATCTATATGAAGATTTTTTTAAATTAATAAAATGCAAGATAGCTGCATTTTGCCTGTCTTTTGTTTTTGCAGAAGAGTGCTGAACAATTAAAAAACAAAATAAAAATAATTATTTATTCATTTTGATTATTTATGTATATATTTAGTTGTTTGTTTGTCAACACCATTTGTCACATTTTAGACATTTATTTTCTATGGAAATACTAATATGATGCTGCTATTGTTTTTTTTTGTTTTTTGTTTTTTTAAACGAATTCATTTCAGAATTTCAGTTCAAACAATAAAGGCAAAATTATTAAATGGTCAGAAAATGTATGAAATACACCCTTTCCAATCATTTAATGGAATACAATTGGCCAGTTATATTTCAGTCAACATATTTTTAAAAACTTTATTGATTTGCAAAAATGGCATGACCATTAATCCAGTCAATGGGGGCACCACTGATTTTGAGCCCTTAAAATGCTCGACCCATCTGGTTTTGAGAGCAACCCTCCATGGAAAGTGCAGCATTCCAAATCAAGCTGATGGAGAGGTGGAGCACAGGACAGACATATTTGAGTGCCCCCATCAAAATGGATGCTTCAGACCACCCACACATCCTGCTATGGGACCGCATACATTATACCTTCACTCCGGGCCCAAAGCTCACCTCAGGATAGCGCAATATGGCAGAAAAATATGACCTCATCCAATAGATGATTGCAAACAGATGTTCTTATCAGGGCACCTCCACCCTTCTCTGTAGCAATCGCCCACGCTGAAAAAAGCATGCGATTGAGAGAGAACCTGTACGTTCTTGTATAGAAGGGTGGGGCAGGCAGCTGTGTAGCAGGTGTCTATGAGAATGAAATAGGGGAATGGCTGGAGGACAGAGGAAAATCGAGAGAGGAGAGGAGAGGAGAGGAGAAGGATATTAATATGTCTTCAGCACTGCCACATGGAGGGGAGGAATGCATTGCGAATACCTCCGATTGCTCGGCTCAGACAAAACACATATTGTGTGGCTAGGTCATGCATGGTGTGAGTCACCACTCCCAAGACCCCTGCATAATCCCTCAGACACACACTCATCTATGACTGACAGAGATGTCTCTACAAACCTGCATTAGGAGATCAGCGCCTCATTATTTGCATGGATTTGCAGATGCTTAGTTGTAAATAATGGTAATATTTTACATAACCAGTTAAAAAGATATATCAGTATTTATTCAACCTCATGTTGTTTCAAACGCATAATTATCTGGCAACACATTAGTATAAGGACCAATTGTCATTATTAACTAGTTGCTTATTAGCATGCATATTATTAACATATTGACTGTTTATTAGTACTTATAAAGCACATATTCTGCATGACCATATTCTACATCCCTAATCCTACCCAATACCTAAACTTAACTACTACCTTACTAACTATTAATAAGCTGCACATTAGGAGTTTATTGAGGCAATATCATGGCTGCTCTTTTCCATATAATGAAAGAGATTGGGAACGGGAACTGTCAAACTCCAAAATGACAGTAAACACTATAAAATTATCAAAAAAAGTGACTACTGTATGTGCATTATAATATATTTGTTTGTAAATAGTTTTGAAATCACTGAAATCAAATTGTATTCACTGAAAACGGGCTAATTTCCATATGTTCCTAATGCAAAACTATTGCATAACTTTAGAAGCCATGGAATATAGAGTAATGGACCACTTTTATAATACTTTCATGGCACTTTTTTTTGTCATTTTGGAGCTTGAGAGCTCCAGTTCCTATTTTGTTTCATTAAGTGGAATTGTGTGGACAGGATATTGTTCCAAAATGTACTTTTTGTATTCCACAGAACTCTGTAAGAAAATTTTTTTTCAGGCCATTTAACACGGGTACTTATTGGTCTTTGTAACTTATCTACCCCTGAAGGTTATATTAGTGTAATAATATATTATTATGAGACAGTAGTTTTACCCAATGTGATCACAAACAGCCCCCAACCATGCCTTTTTTTCTGACAGAAAAGAAAGTCATACAGTGACACAAGGGTGAGTAAATAATGACAGTTTTCATTTTTTGGTGAACTATCCCTTTAACACTTTCACCCTTGTAAGACCAAATGGTACCATAGAATTCAACAAGGCTCCTTGTGATTATAAAAGGAACGCACAAAAAAGGGGAGTGAGAGATAGAGGGAGGGAAAGTGAGAATTAGAGAGAGAGACAGAAAGAGAGTGAATAGTGTTGAATTAGTGTCTCATCATGAATGCAAAGCTCTCATCTAATTTAAAGCTGGCCTCTCCTCTCTCCCATTTCGAGTGTTGGCGATGGTCCCCACACATCTCTGGGCTTCATTTACAGTAATGAAGTTGATTTCTACCCATTCTCTCCCCATTAGAGCAATGCTACCGTGACCAAAACGAACTGTGAATCAAAACTGCACGCGCTGTCTGGTCTGTTTCTTTAAACCATTGTCGGAGTTCGGGAGACAGCTATTTTTCTCCCAATGTCCTGAATGGAATGAAAGAACGACAGAAAACGAGAAGGATATTTTGAGAGGTTGAGAGGGAAGGAGGAAAAAAGCAGTTCCCTTTGGAATAGACCCAGCTTGCCCATTGAGTCCCTGCCCCAGTGGGAGCTTGGGGCTCTGGCTATAATCTAATTACATGCTTTATTTGCAGCAATTTGTTTCTCAATCAGTCTCATTCCACACAGAGAAAGCCTTCCCCCTGTGCGCTCATTCACACCTCATTGTTACAGTTCCCAGATCTGCGATGCGCCCATGAATAGGATTGTCCGTTCCATCAGAGGTCCGACTGGAAACAGACCTCAGGTCAGCTTTAGGCTCTTTTTGCTATCAACGGAGTACAGTGTCTGGCCGTCTTCAAGCTCTAAATGACCCAGCAGGTTAGATTGTCAGTGTTAGATGTCAAGGCTTTTCAGAAGTGCTGAGTGACGCTGAATAGCACAGACTCATTAGGCGAAAAGTTATTCTCTGCCGAATCTCCAGACCAACAACTTCCCTCGACATCTAGCGACGGAGAGAATTCGTCCCCGCAGGGGTCTCCACAGTCAGCGTGTAACCGGTGCCCTCCACTCATTCTTCAGTGTCAAACAAGCCTCACATTCAAACTTACACGCAGCTTTCTTTTACTCACTGGCACCACTAACAGCACCACTAGACTTGGTGCCAAAATCTCTCATACACAGCTTTCGCTCAAAAAGACGGCAGGAAAAACATCCATTAAGGCGACACCGGCCTCTGTGGGAGCATCATGACGGGACGGCGAGCTAACCCTACTTCCCCTAACACAAGAGGGGGCACAATGAGTACATTTGTCCTTGCTGCGGGGGACGAGATGTTTAAATAGGAATCTCAGGGTGCTCATCACCTCCTTAAAGGAGAGCTAATGAGAAATGATGGCTTTCAAAGGGAAGTATCGTGATGGCATTAAACAGGGTTATAGGAAAACAAAGCAGTTGCTCTACAGTCTTCATTTAAATGGAAATGAAGCTGCCACACTATGGACTCTCAATTTCATTTCGGTTACAGTTTCTCTGCCATTTCCAATCTACAGTGTGCACGCTTTGACTCGCCCAACCCCACCTCGGAGTCCCTAGCGCAACCACTTCGGCGCGACTACTTTCACGGGCATTTTTTTCTGATTCCTTCGTTCCCCGGGCAACCTCATTCACACAGAGAGAATAGCGAGTCCAAAAGAAAGTAAAAGGCAGGCATGGAGCGAGGGTCGGCCGAAACAATGAAGTTTGTTCATATGCAGGCGAGCTGAAAGGTTTTTCTCTCCCCCTCCACTGTCTTCTCATTTCATCCACCCACTAAAAGAAGGCCATGACAATGTGTGGGGCGTAAGGGGAACGGCAAGAGAAATCTTCTCTATTTAAACATCTGCATGCTCCAAAGAGGTGTTTTTTAATGAATGAATCGTGTCCGTGATGTCGTACAGCAACTGAGGCGCAACGGTTTAGTTATTTATCTGGGCGTGCTAAAAAAAAAAAAGTACTGCAATCTGAACCAAATCTCTTGGCCGAAACGCCATGTTTCTTCTTTATTTTTACACACACTTTATGCGCTGCTAATTTCCTCCTGACCTCCCTTTGTGCTCGGACAACACTTGCTCCCCCTTCACCACCACCTCCCTGAGTGCTGAACCAATAAATGCCAAAGGTTGAAATGGTCTTCAGGGGTTGCGGTGGGGGAGGGCGGCATTAGGACAGACGTACAGGGTGGGTTGACAGGACCGGGAGGGAGAAGTCATGATTCAAAAAGCCCTAATCAGGCCCATCATGGCACTGACAGTGGAGACAAGGGTGAGAAATTAGCATGGAGCTGAAAAAAAAAATTGCTGGGTGGCACAATATGCTTGGCCTTAGAGGGCTCCCATCAGAGCAGGGGAGGGTCCAGACATCCAGAGAGCAGAACGAGAGGGACCTTTTGTCTCCTGCTTTTCTAAGGAGCAAAAGACACTTTGCTGAATGCCTCACAAGCCCTATTACAGCCTCAAAATTAAACTGGGCAGATGGGTGTCACAACAGGCCAGGGCTTTAGGATAGATGTGTAGTTTGCAGAAGTGTCTCTTTTTTGACAACGTTCCCTCTTTTACATTCTTTAATTGTGTTTTTTTGCCCTCCAACTTTAGACTGTGAATCCTACTGCAAGGCTTCCAAAGGCAAGCTGAAGATCAATATGAAGAAGTACTGCAAGAAAGATTACGGTGAGTGAGAAAAGTGCACACAACACCGTACCGCACTCCCACATTTACGCAGGTGGCTCAAATCCTTGCCCTCGACAACATCTTTACTCTTCATCCAAAGCTGAATTCCCTCGAGCCCCCTCAGTGTTGGTATATTGTAGTGATGGCTTACTTAGGGCTTTCAAGAAGAAAGTCAAAGGATCAAACAGGAGGAAAGGCCATCAGTGAAGGGTTTAGGGGAGGCTGCGTTGACGGACAGCCCAGCAGGTATTTGAGCCCAAAGCGGATCAAGCCAGGGCAGTGTGACGGGCAGAAGGGACCGGAGTGCTCACAGATATCCTCATTAAGGGAAGAGCATGTCCCTGTCCTGCATTCCTGGGGGCAGCAGGCCCTCTCTTGTCCATGAAAAGGAGCAGATGTGCAGCCCCTCTCCTACAGAGGTGGGGCCGTTTCATCAGTCAAGTGAGACCCCGTGGAACTTAAAGAGCTTAGCAGATTTAATAACAGCCAGAGCATTTTAACAGCTCTTTTGATTCATTTCAGTCAGCACAGGTCATTAATTGATGGCGAATAAATTACAATAGAGATGATATGGGTATAGCTATAATTGTAATATTTTTGAATATTAATAAAATGTAAACTCTAACACAAAAAATTTTGCCTTGATCTTTGGCATAGTTATTATATTGGTCAATGACAATTAATAGTGTCCACAAAAAAAACAAAACAAAAAAAAAGCATTTGACAAGAAACAAAATGTATTATTTGTATTAATGTTGGTTTCATATGGTTTTAAATTTGTTTATAGAATTTTCAAGGTTTAAATGTAATGACTAAAATCATTAAAAATGTAATTTAACTATCAAGTAAAAACAATTTTTTGGCACATATTTTCCTCACACACTGAATAAATGTGAGTGTACACATATTAATCGTGAATATTTTTATTAATTTAAAATTTCGTGGATTATTTATTTATAAATATTATGTTTTGGGGAAATTATACCACATGACACTTTACAAACTGAACTAACCTGGCCTTGTTATTTAAAAAAAAAAAACTGATATTTTAAGAGACTTATTGTCTTTTTCCCTGTATAGTTCTGCATGTTGTGTGCACAACATTACTTTGTTTTTCAAGCATTAATATACATCGTAGTAGGTTTTGTTTTCTCCAGAAATATAACAGAACTTCATTATGATATCAGGAAGTTGTATCACCCTGATGCGTTTTACTTTATGCTCCCCAAAATATCAGAATATTAATATTAATTCAGAAATTAAAACAATGCTCATCATATAATAAGAGGGTTATTCTAATCACTGTATGCATGAATGGCATTATTTAATTAAAAAAAAAAAAAAAATAATTAATAGATCCAGCCAGAAAAAAATTAGCGTTGTCATTGACCCATATGCAGTGTTGGGAAGGTTACTTTGGAAATGTAATAGATTACTGATTACAAGTTACTCTATTTAAAATGTAATAAGTAGTGTAGCTTTTCAATTACTTTATTAAAGTAATGTAACTGATTACATTTGATTACTTTTCTACATTTCTAATGAATGTTTTTAACTGTTAATCAATTTGAAACATAAACCTTACAGTAGTACTCAACACTGATTACTGTCAGACTTTCAGAATCCTTCATCACCTGAATTATGATTATAATAATTTAATTTTAAAGCACAGCCACCACAAAAGCAGACTTTAGCACCTCTTTGTACTTTTAGATCGTTCTGAGGTTAAATAAAGATTTAAAATCATAACAAGACACAGCTATGATACTGTTTTTGAAATCAAATTTTTGCATAGCTATGGTGAGAAACAATGGCATCTAAGAAGTCAATTGAATCTGAGTGAGTGAGTGAGTGAGTGAGTGAGTGAGTGAGTGAGTGAGTGAGTGAGTGAGTGAGTGAGTGAGTGTGTGTGTGTGTGTGTGTGTGTGTGTGTGTGTGTGTGTGTGTGTGTGTGTGTGTGAAAAATTCAAATGTAACCCCCTTTGTAATTGTTAACATTTTCATAAAGTAACTGTAATTTAATTACAAATTTTTTCTCAGTAAATGTAACTGATTACAATTACATTTATTTTGTAATTAAATTACTTAATTTAGTTACATGTAACTAGTTACTCCCCAACACTGCCCATATGTATATATTTATAGTTTAATTGAGCTGAATACCATTAAACTACACAAAGTGCTTTTATAATTAATGGACAGGCTGTAAAGTTGGTGCGTGATAAATGTAACAATAATTGAAAACGTTTCACCTAAAGACATGATTTGATACATATAAGGAACTGTAGCCTTCAAGAACACCTTTTTTTTTTTCTTTTTTTTAAATACATATATAACTACAGTAAGCATTTATGCTCAGTCGACCTCTCAAAAATCAGTTACATTGAAGGTGAAAACACAGGGGATCCCTGCAGTGTAGAGAGGAGGTCTGGCACACATTGGTAGCTGCATCTTATGTGATGAATACTCAATGCCATCACCTCCTGCAGACCTCTTTGCATGTTCTCCTTTCTACACTGCCATTACTCATTTAACACTCATTTAAGAATTTATCCAGATAATATGGTCCCCCGCTGCATTCAATTTACAGTTGTCCTCAGTTATGGAGAGCTGGCCAGCTCCCTCTTTACAGAAAAGTGAACAATCTAGGATAAACTCCCACATTCTGAGCATTAAACCTAATCCGCTTTCCTTCTGCCTTCTCGAGCATCAGGGGGGCTTTATGCTACAGCAGCATGGGGGGAAATGGCTGGAAATGGTATTGAACTTGAAGATGGAGTCATCTAAAAGACTTCTAGGGGGATCAGGCCCTTTGTGGCATTATATTTACAAGCTTATGCCTCACTGGCACATAAAACACCACAGGTTTCCACAGGCTGTGACGTGTTGCAATCACTAGGTAAATGACTTCCACCTTTCCAAATGGTGACACTGACATAAAGTTAAAGGTTTATTCAATTTCATTTGTGATTATTTTTGAAAGCAATTAAAAAAAGAATAAAAAAAATAAAATAAAAATGTCATCATTTATAGTACTCACACTCATGTTGTTCCAATTTAATTTTATTCTTACATAGAACACAAAAGATGACTTTCTAAAGAATATCCTGGCAAGTTAATAAGGCTTAAACTCAAAAATGACACAAAAAAAAGATATATAATATAATAATTTTATGTGGGAAACTTATCAAAATTACTCGTTATTTCCCGATAACCATCCTCTCCAGTAAACGGCTAACTGCTGTGAGTCATGAAGGAAGTGAGCCTGAGAGTCAGAACAACAGTTGTGTGAACTGCTTTATTAAAGGGGTCATATGATGCTTTTTTAAAGATCATTATTCATCATATGACCCCTTTAAGCATTTAGTTGAAAAGATCCGACTCCAAAGAATGAGTATTTCATGAATCGCACATTGCTGCATCTCTCAGGAACAAGCTAGGGAGAGCTACACTAGATATCAAGTTTTTAGTGAATAGCTTAAATTTCACTTACACAAAGCTATCGTACGGGCATCAGAATATTTGGAATATTATTAACAAATCATATGAACCACTTTAATTCACTGATTTACTTTCAATTACATGCAAGAGAACTACAAGAACATTCTTCAAAAATACATCTTCTGTGTTCCACAGAAGAAACAAAATGGCACAGTTTTGAAACAACATAAGGGTAAGAATAATGACAGAATTTCCTTCTTTCTATTGCCCCCCCCCGCAAACAGCCCCTTTAAACAATTACCATTGATTTTAATGCTTAAACATTTTAAGGAATTTACAGTTGAAATTAAATGCCATTAAATAAACACAGACATGTTGCAATTTAATTGAATCAAAACACATCTGAAGCACTTGGCATGTTCTAATCTCCTTTTTTAGCTATTAAAGAAGTTTGCATATCCTGGTACCTGATACAAATGAGAAGTTTAAACTTAGTCTAGTGGGATGCTGCGTGGCGCAAGATATAAATGGATTCCTGTAAATGTGAAACGCGGTATTTGTAATGGTAATAAAGGCAACTTGTGAAAAACGTGAATTCTTACAAGCAGAATGTTTGTAACCTGGGGTTAAATGTTGTATATCAGAGGAAAAAACAACTTAATATGGGTCCAGTGAGCCTTTAAAATGTTGAGTAAAGTATGTAAATAATGTAAATAGACAGATACATAGATCACCAACCATTAGCCTGCATGATACAGCCTCAGTCTTTAGCCAAGCGCAAAGCATTACGCAGACGAAATTAAATCTGCCTGTTGCTGGTCCTTTTTGTCAAAGTCACCTTACAAAGCACCTTGAAGGCTATTAATAATGAAAGGGGAACAGCATGAGTCTACAGGCAGTTTAAGCCGATTTTGAGGATTCACACTTGCAAGGAATCAAGGTTTGAGTTACATGCTTTATTTGAAAGCACTTTAAACTGAAGGTTGACCTGCATTGCTGAGGCAACTGAGACGATACAAACGGCTTAATCAGAATTAGAGCCAGACTCTAAAACCACGGCTGAACTATCATTTAAATTGTGGCAGTAAATTTAGGCACACGGGAGCAGTGTATTGCAGAAATTTTTATGGCGCAGTGTGTGTACATTTATTTATTCAACGAAGATTTTAGAATAAAAATGTATGTATGCAGTGGGATCCAACCACACACAAAATCTGTCATTTTAATTTAAACCTGGAAATGAACAGGAAAAAAAAAAAAGATTAAAAATGAAGAAATTATTTAGCCTTTTAGATCTAGGCCACAAATCAAAACCAAATGTGACCCTGGACCTCAAAACCAGTCATAAGGGTCAATTTTTTTAAACTGAGATTTATACATCATCTGAAAGCTGAATAAATAAGAATAGGACAATATTTGGCCGAAATACTACTATTTGAATATCTAAGGGGGCAAAAAAAACAAAATATTGAGAAAATTGCCTTTAAAGCTGTCCAAACGAAGTTCTTAGCATTGCATATTACTAATCAAAAATTAAGTTTTGATATATTTACGGTAGGAAATTTACAAAATATCTTCATGAAACATGATCTTTACTTAATATCCTAATGATTTTTGGCATAAAAGAAAAATCGATAATTTTGACCCATACAATGTAAAATTGGCTATTGCTACAAATATACCTGTGCTACTTATGACTGGTTTTGTGGTCCAGGGTCACAAAGAAATTCTGAAATGAATTAACTTTTTTTTAGTCCAACGTTTCACTTAAATTATGCAAATAATAACATTTGTAATGGAAACAATTGTATTAAATTAGAAATATGCAAGACGGACTTATTGTGTAGGCTACATAAATGAACATACATTTGTAAATGTTGTGCGAATGGCCAAATGTTAAGTTTAAACATGTTTAGCATTTTTTACTTTTAAAAAGTACAAAAAATATTCCATGTAATTTCTCAATTAACTTTGTCTAAAGTAGTTTTAATGTTTTTAAAGTTTTAAATATTTTTATTTGAAAAGAACTATTGAAACTGCTTAAAATATAATGTCACCCATCTGTATTAATACTGGAAAAGTAGCTAATTCTGTTTTCTATGTTCTGTTTTTGTACCAGCTGTTCAGGTCCACATCCTAAAGGCAGACAAAGCCGGCGAGTGGTGGAAGTTCACTGTCAACATCATCTCTGTCTACAAACAGGGAGAAAGCCGAATCCGCAGGGGGGATCAGTTTTTGTGGGTCAGAGCAAAGGACGTGGCCTGCAAGTGCCCAAAGATCAAGCCCGGCAAAAAGTACCTGCTGCTGGGCAACGATGAGGATTCCCCTGGACAAAGCGGAGTGGTGGCAGACAAGGGCAGTCTGGTCATTCAATGGAGGGACACTTGGGCTCGAAGACTCCGGAAGTTTCAGCAGCGGGAGAAGAAAGGAAAATGCAAGAAAGCATAGTGAGGGGAAAAAGAAAGAGGAGGCTATCAAGAGCTGGACAGAGAAACAACAGACGAGTGGTGGATAAAAAGATCATAAGGGAAAGGAAGAGAAGGAAAAAAGACGGACTAAACATCGCTGCTTTGAATAAAGGCATGAAGAGAATATTAACTTTTTTTTTTTTTTTTTTTAAATAGGAACATGTGTGAAGGAGTTCACGATGCAGTTTTCATTTCTTATTTGTTTCCTTCAAGATTTGTTTGCTGTTTGCCAATTTTGCACCTGTGTTCAGCATAAAGAAAGGTATTTTATGTTAAATGGCTTTCAGATCCATTTTGGACGGTTTCAGTCTGCTTGAGAATCAGATTAAGCCATATTTAATATTCTAAAACAACCTGGGGATTGAGGATTGATACATTCAAAATCTTGTACTCATGCTTGTACAAATCCTAAAATTATTAGCATGCATTTACAATTATTTTTGAACTTGGAATAAAACCACCATGTATATTTTTGTATAAGACATGATGATTGAGGTAGATGACTCTAAATACAAACAGCAGTTCTTGCTCTATTTGATGCTCTGATTCAGTTGTTTATAGTCCAGACATGGATGATGACGTCCTTTTGTTAAAACAGAACTTCAGTGCGACGAGTCCAGTGTATAAACAGGCCTTTTCGTAAGTCCTGGAAGTGTTGGTAGAATGGTGTTTATAGGTAGTATTTTTCCTTGTGTGTAATACAGTATTTAGAAGTGTACGAATTACCTTTAACTAGTATTCATTAACTAGTATTTAGTTTTGTAAAGCAACGGCATCTCTCCTTAAACATTTCCATGTCCATTTAGCATCTGTGGATGTAGGAATGCATGTACAGTAATGTTTCACTACAATAGAGAATTCTCTTCACTGTGAGAAACGCTGCTCATACACACACACACACACACACACGTTTATTTGGTTACTAATGAGACGGACGTTCTCTAAAGTACAGCTTTTCCACTGATCTTTGAGGGTCATTTAACATTTGCTTCTGTGGTCAGTCCTTCACAGATCATTAAGAAAATAAACTGCAAGAACTGATCATTTCAGCATCAAATACCAAAAAAGAAAAGAAAAGAAAGAAAAAAAGTCAAGATTTGATGAACGGTTTACGTGTGCAGTAATTATCATCTTTACTCAATGATTATTTCTTGTAAATGTACACAATGTATGACATACAGATATTTATACATATGCTGTATTTACCGGTTACAAACAATATTTGTAACAGCACATGTAAATGTATTTTGTTTGGCACTCAGTATCTTAGTGCACACTCTTTTTTATTTTAAGTATTCCAATGATGTAAATTTATGTTCAGTTTTTACTTTTCGCAGCAGTGGAAAGATGGCTCCTGTATTTGACATTACCAGCAGACCTTTCATACATTGCTTCTTGTTCATATTATGAATTGTAAATTTAGCTGTGGCAAATACAAGATTTCTGCAATATTGTTTTACAGTGCATACTAATATATTATGGTTATTATAAGAAAATATTTAATGACACAAGACATTGTGGATTTTTTGTCTATCTTTTTCCTTTTTATTTTTTATTTTTTTTACAGTTTGTGGTTGTTTAGATGGTTGTGATTAAAATCCAGAGGGGAAGATAACTACTGAACACCAACCTGGTAGAACTATTCAGCATTCATTTGGAATAAAACCTCAAAACATTACTAGTGTGCCTTTTCATTTTTCCCCCTCTTACAAACTTGGTTTAAAAAAAGATTTAAGTCAGTAAATACAGTAAAGATTCAAGAACATATGACCTAACGTGACAAATGATCAGCACTAACATTTGTGATCATTAAAATTAGAGACCAAGCTGACCAACTACATTTATTAGAATTTAGAATTTCGTCACATTTTCAGGCTAAAAACAATTTACAGAAAAGCGTCAATGACAAAATGACACATTTAATTTTTTCGTACTTACAAAATAGAATCTGAACTGTAAATGTAGTTAAGAGATAATACATTTTAATTATACTGTATATACATATATTTTGTATTGCTTTGTGACTCAGACCTTGTTTACAAGATGGATACGGATCATTTTCTTCACTGCCAAACAAAGAATTTAAATAGGTTTTTCCCCCCTTGGAGCATCTCGAGCTCATGGTTATTTTCATAATACTATTCAAAACCTTTCAAAGCTCTTTTCTAGTTTTCTTTCCATTCTGAATCCTACTTTGATCATTATCTGAGGAGCTAAGAATTTTAGTTCTTCATAGCGGTCCATTCCTTGGCTTTATCCCAGCCAAGGGTTCCATTATTTTCATAAATGTAAAAGGGGACAGGAGAGGCTTTTATACAGTAGATGTGTGTTTACATATACAGCCTGATTGGAAGCTGCCTGTGAGTATGTCTCGTTCACCTCAAAGACGGGTTTTCTAAGTCTCCGCAGTGCGTATATGTGCCGTCTTCTCTTCATTAAGTCTGCCAAACAGCCACGACAATGATGGCGATGAGGAGAAGAACAATCACCACCAGCATTCCTGATTGAAAAACACACACACACACAAAACATTAGAATGAACGAACAACTTCACGATGCCCCAACAGTGAATAGTTGTGTGTGTGTGCACATTTAAATTCATCATTTGCCATGCAAAAACACATGACTGATCTTTAGCACATGTGCATCCCCTTCCAACCGCACCGCAGAAACTTCATAAATCTGTTGTTTATATTCTGTGGCTATGATCTGTTTCTCAGAGAAACTTAATGTAATCTATATTTTTGACTTCCTGAAACACTTCCATCATTTAAATGGCTTATTCCTTTTATTCCATTCATTATTTGCATTTTTCAATGATCACTCATTAAAATAAACACAGTAATGACTCCTAGATGGGGCTCTTAGCCCTGTGTTTAATTCAAACTCAAGATCAACACTAACTGATGGTGAGAATGACAAACAAAATGTGGTGAAACTTTCAGCGATGCATCTGCCTTTCATTAATCCTTCCGATAGTCAAATTTCTCATATACTCCGCGTCACTAGAGGAATTACATGATGTCTCATCTCCTGTGAGTCACTGACATCAACCAGAACATTCTTACATGTGATATAGATCGGCTTTTACAAAGCTGATAGTTCTGAACTCTAACATGAGGCACGCTTGAAGTTGTGAAATGCCAATAAAACCACTACTATGAACTGTGACTGAACATTACACATTATCCCACTTAGTTTCGTTTATAAGGTAAGCCTACAGTTATACAGCTAGGCTTGTAACAAAAGGTTTAATAATTTATTACTAATGCATTTAATGATATATTGAATATGGGTGTGTTTTATTAGTGCTTTCATTAAATTATATACTTTTTGTTAAGTGCTGCCAATTGCTTTTCTTTACAATAACACTGATTACAACATCTAATAGCAGGCATATTTTAATCTAAGGGTGATTCATTTAATGCAAATCTGATCTCTTGAAATTTTCGCATCAATGTTAAAATATTTATCACATCTTAACATTTTCAAATCCTTAACCAAGTCTATTGGATAACACAATTTATGTATGTTTCTGAATTAAAATGTTCAAATACTGACTTTGCTAATGGTATCTAATATAATATACAGTAGCTACACCTCAGACTGTGATTTAAAAAATCTTAAAATTAATTACATTACATAAAAAAGTTTTTCTAAAATGTTAGGCATGACAGATATATTACAGACAGCAATTCTGTGTCATTAAACAAACAAAAAAAAAAAAGCCAAATTAACTCAACATATTCTGTTAATATGAAAAGTCCAAACTGTTCCCGATTTTAACATATAACATTTTATAATAATTGAGGAAAATTGCACCTTTCCTATTCTTAAGTGAATAATAAGACACAATAAAAACACTCACAGCTACTGTAATAAAATGAATCCATTAAACTAGAATGACACAATATATATATTTTTTCACCTTTAAAATCATCCTAGAAAAGTTACTCTACTTTCAGATCACCCATATACATTTTTTTTCAAAACACACATGTTCTGACTATGCTTGTCTCAAGCGTGCCTAACTTCAGTGCTTTCTTTGTTTGTGCAAACTCTCTAACATAGCAGACGCGCCATCTGTCACGTCTTTTCAAAACATGCTTATCTCGGCTAATCAGACAGGATTTTTGACATATGCACTGTTCGTCACGGACACTGGCTGGTACTGTATTTGCAGCCTGATTCAGTGCTTTAGTTTACATTTCTCTCATAGTTCGGCTCGGTGGCTGTGTGTTCCCACTGGAGTTGGCCTGCACTGAGGCACAGGGCAAAAGGAAGCTGTGCTGAACTAACTTATGCTGGTATTATAAAAAAGCGACCTACCAAAGCCTGCTGCGGGCAGAGTGTGAGTTAGGAAATAATTTTGACTGTGACAAGGAACAATGTCAGATTTTTAGAGAACAGACCCCTATCCCTATGGATAATTCCACATGTATTTAAAAGAACATTGGCAAGAGAAGTGAAATATCAAACACCAAAAATAAGATAAAAAGGTATTTCAATCTCCATGAGCTGGTAAACCCATAGAATGACATTTTACAAGAAGAGGGGAAAAAGTTTTACTTTCCAAGTGAACATGATCTTTTCTGTATTAAATGTCAAATGGTGAAAAGTCATTCAGATTTAAATCAGCCTAAAGAACGGTTTGTAAGACAAACCATCATTCACACTGTCAGACTTCTACACTCATCTGTTTGCTCCTCTTTTTCATCTCTGCGAAACTGTCACAGTTCTATAAGTAATCAAATAAGCTCTGCAACCCAATCATGCTGTCCCAATGACAACAATAATATTTGCTAGACAAATAGATTAGTGTGCACAGAGGGCAGAAGACCTGTGTGGCCACCCAGGGGGAAGAACAAAGGACACACATTCTTCCCAATTGTCCTTCATTTATTTCAAATCAAAGCCGAGGGAGAAAGAGAGACCTGTGAGGATCTAAACTTCAACTTGTCATATTCAGGGGCTTGAAGACTCAAAACATAAGCCTCAACTTCATTTTCCTCAATCGTTTTCTGACCAGATAATTTTCCTCTGCCTGTCAATGTTGTTCCTAACAGCCCTTTTTTTCTTTTTCATCTTTCTAAAGAGGACAGTTGTAAAGTATTTGGCTTTAGAATGTAAACAAATTAAAAACTAATTACGTGTCAGACTTCATACATTACAATATGACGACACATTTGGCTATTATTTTGACATTTGACTGCAGCACTAAAGTCCATTTCTGACGTAAAGATGAAGTCATATGGTCTATATCTATACACAAATGTTTAGTGTCAGAAAGATTTTTGACAGTAAAGGCCATATACAGATTATATATACACACCAAAACCCAGGCAGTTTTAACCTGGATTAATAAAAAACAGGAATAAACTAAAGTAATCTCAAATAGACAATAGATAGAAAATTAGACACTTAAAGATACAACAGAACAACTGATACTATATGTAAAATATTATCTTCTCTGAACACCCATATAGTTAGAAAATAAGACAAATACATGAGAGAGATATTTTATAAACATTGTGTGCCCAGAGGAGAGAATGATCAGACAGCTTTAAAAAATGTTGTGGCATGTTATTTTTCAACATTTTCTTTCCACAAGACAAAGACAAAAGACAAGTGTCAAACAAAGTTGGGAAACGTGAGGAGTGAAGTGAGTCAGGGAACACAAGTTGAAATAATAGACAAAAAAAAAAAGTGGGGTACGGACGACAAGGCAGTGAGGAATTTTTCCATTCATCAACCCCTCCTTCACCCCCCTTCACTGAATACATGAATATAGTTAGGTGTTAAAAGCAGACGCGGGACGAGAAGACGAGGAGAAGAGAAATAGAGGAGCGAGAAAGTGAATCAATGCAAAACTCGGCAACTCTGGCCTCCAGTTCTGGGATCTGCAAACAAACTTCAGTCTGTAGAGTCCTCTGGACAAACAAATAGAATTATGTGTGACATTAGAGGAGCAAGACCAAGCACGGCAATGCATTTATTTCCCAGGAAAATTCAAGATGGATCTTTATAGGATTTTATTATTCACACTCTTCACATGCATGACCATAATAAAAATTAATTAATGATCAATTCCACATCTTCTGCAAAGAGCTAATTTAATGAATAATGTCTTCATATAATTTGAGATTGAGAAAGTTCCTGGAAAAAAAAAATTCTACTGTCTATTAGTGTTGGGTTCGAGTCCACCTACGTCGAGTCCAAGTCTTTAACCAATCGAGTCCGAGACAAGTCCGAGTCCAAAATGGGCCGAGTCGGACTCAAGCCCGAGTCCCAAACAGCCGAGTCCGAGTCCAACGAAACTCTATTATTTATTAGTATCTTAACAGTTTTAACCTTTACAACTAGAAAAACGCAATGTCCATTTAAATGTAACAAAAGCAAACCTCTATTTCATCTTGCCATTTTGATTTTTTATTAATAATTAGTGCCCTGCTTTGCTTAGCAAACTTAAAGTCATGTAACAGAAGTTATGGCTGAATTGATTTATGTATTGTGACATATTTCAGAGTGAAACAGGTTTTAAAATGTGAAAAATTAAAGGGCGGCACTTCACTTTATTCATCGTTAAAGCAAATGTATAAATTCAAGAGTGGGGGTAAAGGAGTAGGTATCTTGGTGAATGGGACCTTAAGAGCAGAAAATGCACCTTTTCGTTAAAGTAAATGTATAAATTCAAGAGTGAGGGTAAAGGAGTAGGTATCTATGGGGTGAATGGGACCTTAAGAGCAGAAAATGAACCTTTTATCTCAATAAAAAAGCTTTATATAATTTGTACGATTTTTAATGAAATATGAATTTTGAATAATCAAAATTATTTTGTGTCTGCTTTTTCTATTCATCAGTGTTTGAACCATTAAAGAAGAAACTTCATTTTAATTTCTGGGTAAAAAAAAAAAAAAGAAAAGAAACGAAAAATGAATGGACGCCAGGGGCGTAAAGAGCAATTTTTGAAGGGGACACAAATAATACAGCTAAAATTTTACTTGCAAGGATATGTATACACAGAGGAAAGCCTTACTGTTATTAGTGCAGCAGGGAGACCGTGCCAAATTAGACAATTTCAAGCTGTTGTGGTTGCGCCGTGACAGCGCCCGTGTCCGTTGTAGACACTACTATCCGTCACAGTGTTGCCAAGTCCGCGGATTTCCCATGGAATTGGGCTACTTTATCACTGTTGCCGCGGGTTGAAGCGACCCCAATAATGTGTATTTTAGCCCCCGGAACGCGATTTTTACCGGGGGACCCCCTCGAAACGCGGTTAGTTTGGGCTAGTTTTGAGTAGCAATTGGGCGGGTTTTGTTGTGAAAACCTGGCAACCATTTCCCTCAAGCAGGTAACGTTATTATTGCTAACATAGCGGACTCATCGAAAAAATACATTGGCATCATGTATTAAAGAGAAAATAATCAAGGGGGGGGGGCAACCCTCCTCAGATGGGGGGTCCTGTCCCCCACGAGATTTCCGCCTATGATGGACACCAAAGTACACGGACCCCTTAGACAGGGCATTTTGAATTTTTTCTTGGATGAAAATGAGGCTGTGAGGGATAAACCTAGCCTGTACATGGCACACACTGTGTATAAAAGCCTTACATATACTTTCCTTAAGTCACAGGCAACTCACACCTGTTTTATTTTTGAATGCATTTATAGTTACATTAATTACAATAAATTACATTATGTAAGGAATAATTGATGAAGGGCCGTTGAATTATTAGAAAATAATGCACACCCAAGGTGATTTTGGACCCATAAAAACTATTGGCGATGTTAGAAAAATATTTTTTCTTTGAAACTGCCACTAATACAAAAGCAAAAAATAATAAACTAATGTAATAAAACATTCTCAAGCTTACTGAAGGCAAGTAAACACTCCAAGTATTACTTACAAACTAAATGATAAATAAATATATTACTCAAAAATCACAGAATCACAGTTTTTTTTTATTTTATTTTTTTAAGTTTTTCAGATTGTAGCCTAAAGGCTTCTAGAAATAGCCTACTACAGACATTTAATGAAAATGAAAAATATCCAATTAAAAATGTACAAATAATCTTCACTTTATACATTAAATATAGATGATTCTTATTAAAGTTAATAAGTGAATCAGTCAAGAGCAGTGAGTGATTTTCTCCTTTTCTATTATTTGATTAACATTTATGACGCAGTCGACAGCTGCAGGTTTCGCTGTTGCTTTAAGATCTGACGCATAGATCAAATATTTTCACACATCTGTATTTCTCCCAACTGTTCAAGTTCACTTAAGACAAAACCGACTGCATTTACATGAATAGTCTCCAAGATGGGCGTTTTGACATAACTTTTCGTGTGTGTAGCAATAACAGAACTTAAGAGAACTTAAGTGAAAGAACTTGGCATTTGCACGCTGACTGATGGGCGCTTTATTCTGTGAGCATGCTTTCGGTGTGTGAACACAGAAACCCGTCGGCTTTCAAGTACTGATCAAAACTTAAAAGCACATGCAAATACTGAATATCACTTTCGTGATAATGCATTGAGTCAGTGACATTTCCGTCAACTGTCCCTGGACTCAAACATATTTTCAGAGTCCAAAGTCTTGAGTCCGAGTAAAAATGCATCCGAGTCCGTGACGAGTCCTTTAAAAAAAACTGTACTCGAGACCGGACTCGAGTCCAAGTACCCCAACTCTACTGTCTACCTTCAACAGCAATGACAAAAAGACAAATTATGCCATGTTCAACATTTGTCAAGTGTATAACCAGTGGCACCAAATAGGTTTGTAGTGAGAGCAGATTGGTTGAACATCTCTCATCCCCCAAAGACACCAGCATTAGAGGGTTAGTTCACCCAAAATTGAGCATATGCCAACCTTTACTCACCATTATGTTGTTTCAGACCCTTATGAGATACTCTCTTCCATGGAACAAACCAGGAGATGATGTATGACTTTCTTTCTTCTGCGAAATAATAAAAAGATCTTCAGCAGAATATTTAAGCTGCTCTTTGAATGCTATGCAATATACACTGTTAAAAATAAAGGTGCTTAAAAGGTTCTTCACAGCGATGCCATAGAATAACCATTTTTGGTTCCACAAAGAACCATTCAGTCAAAGGTTCTTTAAAGAACCATCTCTTTCTTACCTTTTTATAATCTGAAGAACCTTCTTTCGCCACAACAAACCTTTTGTGAAACAGAAAGGTTCTTCAGATGTTAAAGTTTCTTTATGGAACCATTTAGACAAAAATTAGACAAAAAAGGTTCTTCTATGGCATCGTGAAGCACCTTTATTTTTTAAGAGTGTATATAGAATATATATATATATATATATATATATAATATTGTAAACAAGAGCTGTCTTTGAAGCCATTTGACAGCTTTGTGTGAGAATCAGACTAAAATTTTAGTTATTCAAAGAATATTTTATAAATAAAATCCTATTTTTATATCCATTAATATATGTCAAGCCCAGATGCTTCAGGTTTGACAACTCCTGGTCACGGTTCACTTTCACCGGCACAGAAAAGAGCAGCTTAGATATTCTGCTGAAATACAAACATGAGGGTGAGTAAATAATCAAAGGATTTTTGGGGGGTGTATTCCTTTAATGATGAGCTTAATGAAGACAGATATTTTGTGTTTGCTGCTCAAGTATGCAGACATGCTTGAACATTTACCACATGTGAAATGATTTAAGCGGTCCAGACATGGTTGACGTGCACAAAACTTGAGAAATCTGAGAGGCTGCAGTCATTGATCACATCACAGAAGATGCAATTAAAGCAATAGTTCACCCATAAATTAAATTTCTGTCATCATTTCCTCAACCCCAATGTCATTCCAAACACACACACGAGAAAATTTAAACACTGTACTGGTCGTTCTTTTCCCTGCATTTACAGAAATGCAGACTGGAGCTTTCAAAGCTTCAAAAAGAAATAAATGCTATATAATAACTCCTCCTATGTGGAAGACTATATTATGTTTATATATGTCTATATATTAAGTTTACTAAAGTCATAGGCTTTTCACACTTGAACGTGTCAACCCTAGGTCATTCTAAACCCAGGGTAAACAGAGGTCCTGGGAGTTAACAAATAATCCGGAATTTTCATAAAATGATTCCTTAAACCCGGTCTTAACATTCTTATTTGCATATTTGCTGTGTCAGTTTCATTAACGAGACAAATGCGGGACGCAACTTGTTTACATAAAGGCTCTAGCATTGCACATCCTCATATTATATACTGCTGACTGTACTATCAAGTTTTTCCTCGATGGATTTTTCTGACTATAAATATAAGAATGAAATGGTCTCTTTGTCACGCCAGTTGACGCATTTTCTGCCACCCTCTAATACTGACTGTTTGTACAACGCAAAGTGTTCCCGTGACTGTCCAAAACATGTGAATATGAGGCACGTGATTGGGTGTCTGTTGCTAAGCATCTAGCCATAACATTCTAACACGGTTTCTAAATTATAAGTGTGAAACGTTAAAAGCGGGGTTTAGAATGATGATAACTCGGGGTTAAGCACAGTGTGAAACGCCCTTCTAAGTAGGGCTGAATGGTATATCGAGTTTCTATGATATATCAATAGATTTTTATAGGATGAGGCAATACAGCTTATATCAATATACAGTTTAATGTTACGAGTGCATCTGAAAACCGAGTGAGCAGAAATGAAGCACAAACAGACAGAGTGCAATAAAACAGGAGTGCACTAATTCTGACTAAAATATACATTTTGCTAAAATATTTGTTACTGGACATTATTACATGTGCCATATGTAGAATTTTAAAACTTTTTTTTTTTTTTAAGTTTTATGATAGCAGTAACTGTAAAGGGACATTTGTAATGGGGTAACTCAATTGTAGGCTAATAAAGTTACTATTCTTAGATGAGTGAAGGTCTGTTCTTACCACTAACATTTAGTCTGTGCTTTTGTTATTTATTTTCATTTTTAATTTATTAATTTTAATTCTGCTTTAAAAGGCATTTCGTTTGGTTTTTAATTGTTAAGTTACAATAGAATGTATTGTGATTTGAACCCGCTTTTATTTTGCACATACTGTAGCCAAATGTAGTTACATTCACAATTTTTCTTTTCATAGCCTTCAATACGCACGTTGTTCATAGGACTGGCAGGATGTGCTTTTTTTCCAAACAGAAATCATAAAAAATATCTAGATATATATCGCCATTCAGCCTAAAAATACTTAGATATGTTTGTATACTTAGATGTTTTTTTTTTTATGTTCATATTGCCCAGCTCCAGAGTGCATGAGATTTATGAGTTTAACAAGTTCATTGAAAAGATCTGACTCAGAAGAACAATCTGTTCACATAATGGTGAATAAATGTTGGCAACATTTGGAAATTGTTGCTTCTCTTATGATTCATCCCCCAAGGATACCTAGGGTGTCAAAACGTAAAGGATGTCAAAATCTTCTGTGAATTAAGTGAATAAATAATGGAAGTAGCAACAGATCTTGAGAGAGTGAAACAGATCATAAAAAATAAAAATTAGTGTACAACATTCAAGCTGTATGGACTATTTTTATTATAATTGTATGTTTTTTTTTGTAATTTCGTCACAGCCCCAGTCCTCTTTCATTATCTTGAAAAGAGTACTCATGATGTTCTTCAAAAAAAAACTCACCTTTTGTGCTCCACAAAAGAAAATCATACAAGTTTGAAACAAGTTTTGAAAAGACGTCACTAAATAATGAAATAAATTGTCATTTTGGGTGATTTATCCCTTTAACAACAGACTAACAAAATGAGACCACAGAAGAAAGTACTCTGAAGTATACAGATGTAAAATACTGTAATGTCTTGCAGAACTTTCCAGAAATCTGTGTAAATGACCTCTCTAAATGTCTCAGCCTGATCTCACCTTTACTGCCGCTCCAATAACAAACACACAGATCACATGCAGATGGGCCTGAAAGAGCTCACAGCACTGAGACCGACCATAATGAGCAGATCTGACTTTGCCATTTACAGGCAGTAGACTTAAATCCTTTCAGTTCTGCAGATTGCACTAAAAAACAGAAGGGAGGAGAGAAGGGACAGAAAAAGAGAGATGGCCGTAAATCTGAACGATGGACAGGCTTATTGTTGCCGGGCTCTTGATGCAGAGTACATAAAACCAGGGCTTCAGTGGCTCTACAGAGGCAGAAAACTCACCACAGGAAGCAGACTTAGTGTCCAACAGCTTGACTCTGTGCGTCTCGTTTTTGATGCGGCTGTCCGTCTTGTCCACAAGCTGAGCAAGGTCATCAATGATCTCTGAAATACACAACAAGCCAAGTCAAGGTGAGCAAGGTCATCAATGATCTTTGAAATACACAAGATCATTATTCATAATTACTTCCAAGACTTGCAAATGCAATACAAACATTAAAAGCAGTCTCAGTTCATGATCCTAGAGAGATCCTCATGATCCTCCTGCTGTCGTTCTGTGGTGTGTGTGGGGGATTTATAGTGGCCAGAAATGTGTGGTTTGTGTGTGCTGGTAGCTGTGGCTAAACCGCACACCATCTGAGGCCTTATTGACTGTATTAGTATGTCTATGGTTGCTGACATCTGTGCAATTACTACTAAAATATGGCCACAAGTGGCAACAACTTGTGTCCAAGCAGGCTGGACCACAATTGGAAAATTTGAAAGAACAGACCATGTGGATACAATTGTTGTGGATCAAGTTTTTTCATCAAGTTGCACAGATGGAAGGTTTTCTTAAGTTATAGCGCCCCCTAGTTCCATCAAATTGGTGAAATTTGGCATCTTTAGAATGTTGTCAAGTTCAAGATAGCACTTACTCCAAGGAAAATGTAAACCAAATTTTCACTTTTTGAACAAATGCTTGCATCCTTTGTCTATGTGTAACAAGTTTTTACTTTGCGAGTACTCATTTAGTCATTAGCAGTCTCATCAAAAAATAAATTGGCTTGTTTCAGTGAAATGATTTTATAAATCTCTCAACTTTTTTTCATTACCATCTCTAGGTGATACATATGAAACAAAGGGGCGAGTTTGGAAGAAAAAAAAAACGTTTTTCTAGGTAAATATTTTTAAAATGTATATAAGATCATGAGATCCATTTAACCGTTTAATTCAGGGCAAGGGTTCAGAGGCGAAAAAAATCATTTTTATTTTAGTCCAAGTGGTATTACAGTTATTGCAAAAGTGTAAATTTGCTTCTTATAGTGTCCAAAGGATATATACCGTATGCATACAGTACACACTGTACTACTGAGTTTGGGGTCTCTGTGATTTATGGTCTCTGACAAACTCTTTTAGAGCAAAAAAAATAAACAAAGAGGAAGAAGAAAATCAGTACAAACACAACTGATTCCAGCAGCTTTGGTGCTTGGACCTAATTAGTACTTAAATTAAATTACTAAAATAATCAAACAGAAACAGTTTCAGATATCCTGGAAGTAGTAGGACAGTTTATAATCCACTTTCTGGGAGGAAATGTAACAGATCTGGAGAGATACAGACACAGACTCACTCCTGTGCTTTTTAGAATTGTATTGAGAAGTAGAAAGAGACAGGAGAGTTGGGATCAGGACACAATGTGTCACAAATATGACATTTAACAAATTAGATCTTTTATTTAAAGGGGTCATATGATGCGATTTCAATTTTTCCTTTCTCTTTGGACTGTTACAAGCTCTTGGTGCATAAAGAAGATCTGTAAAGTTACAAAGACTAAAGTCTCAAATCCAAAGAGATATTCTTTATAAAAGTTAAGAGTTAACCACGCCTACCTAAAACGGCTCGTTCTAACATGCCCCCACATATCTACCTCACTATGTGGGAAGATTTGCATAACGCCGCCCAAATGTTCACGCAAAGAAAGAAGGCGTAACTTTTATTCTCGCTGTAGTATTGTTGCCACTGCCGCCATGCCGTAGAGACTTGTACAATGTAAAGTTAGCTTAGAAAAAAGTACTATGAATACGTTTACTAAAGCTGCTAGCAGCATCATATGACCCCTTTAAACTAAAACTGGACCTTCAATTAAAAATACCTGTAATCAACCTGTAAAAATGTACACATAATAAAAATGTATAGAATTCACAGTTTACATTATACTGTAATACTACCCATTACTAGACCTGTGCTACTGTACTTAAATAACTAACCATCTGTATCATGATTTGCAGTGTTTTTCTGTCTGTTTCAGAGTCCTGGAACCCATGCACTATAAAATCATTTTTATGAGGTCTGTTTTATCCTAGAAAATATAAGACAGTAGGGATTGAACATCACTGGGCAATGTGCCATTTAGAATTTCTCAGGACAATATGTTGTAGCCATCAGCCTCTGTCACCAAAGCAACCTACAACAACCTATATTTCACTGTATTCCTGGAAATTCTCACTCAAGACAATTTTTGATGAATGAAAAGCGGTAGCCAGATTTTTTATTTATCATCACAGTGTATAAAGCCGTGGGCACACAGATCAGAGGTTATTTTATTCACAATCAATCAAAACAATTTAGTTTTAATATCAAAGAAAAACTACATTTTATGTGGTCAAAGAAAGTGTTTTTTTTTGTTTTTGTTTTTTGCATCGCTCCTCTCTAAATGTATGTGCTTACGCTATTTTATTGAGAAATAACATTTTATGGACAAATAAAACAAATCACCACAATTGCATTTAGTTTTAATAGCTAGATGCAACATGGAACAAAACTTCACTTGCATGTACAACATTGCTTATTGAAATTGTTCATACACACAAGAGGGGCAACGTAATAAAAAATAAAAAAAAACATTAATGTGCATGATGCAGTGTGCTGAGTTTAGAGCTTTGAGTTTGATGAGAATCCGTTGAGAATTTCCAAACCCATTTTTAAGTCTAAATCTATTATGCGTACTGGTACATTAACTTTGTATCACACACTTGAGAAGACTACCATCTGAACGGAATCTTCTCATTTTCTTTAAGAAGCTGAAATGAGCAGAACGTGAACTGCAGAGCAAAAAAAAAAAGAAAAAAGCAGCATCTGACAAAATTTAAAAATGAAAAGAAAAAAGTTAACTTAAGTACAAAATACCATGGCTCATTACAGAGTACGTTCAATACAATATAATGTATGATTAAATAGAAAGTTAATTGGCCATTTTGCTTTAGTGCAAATCTAGTTGTGTGGCTTCCCATCGCCCTGCTCTAAAAACACTAACCTTGCTGAAAGGCTCTTTCCAGAGTAGAGAGAAATCGAGTGAAAGAAATGAAGCAGAGAGTGAGAAATAAAACGAAAGAATGAAACGGAAAGAAAAGAGAGATTAATGAGAAAATGCTTAAAGACAAAAATAAATAGGGAGAAAAAAGGAGACGGAGTGAACAGGTTGACCTGTATGGAGCAGAACACACACTTGAACAGAAACCACGACTGTAAAAACGAGCCGCTTACTGACAGAATTTCAATACCTAGCAGCAGCGAGCTGGATGTAATTCAGTAGAAATGGGAAGTTGTACGTTTTTTCTTCTGCTTGCTGCCATCAGCCTGCCAACTCAAATAAGCCTTGCTCCACTGTGCAACAAGCTGTTTTGATGAAGCCTGATGAAGAAGAATCTCCAACACATTCCAGACTCTGATACAGAAGCCAAAACAGCCGTCACTCACAGCATTTCTGTTATTGGTGGAAAGAGTGGAAGGACCAAAGGTTATATATATAATGTGTCGTGTCAGCTGATAGGTACAAAAAGATATAAATCAAGAACCAAAATGAAGCCAAAAAACACCAATGGAAACACAATACCACTAAGAACCGCAGATCAAGGCATATTTTCAAATGCATTACGGTCATTTTACCATGGGTGAATGTGCGGTCAAAGCAGACTTTGGTGTTCCATTCATTTCCATTTAAACACATGTGAATAAGGAGGACGGAAACACGAGCATATGTGTAGAAGTCACATCTTTCACTGTGTATCAACAAGATTTAAGATTGTTTACTCTGACCTGTAGATTTATACTTTTGTATATAAAAGGCGTTCAACCAATAGAGAAGTCACACAGATTGGCTCCACGCAAAGAATAAGTGAAAGTGAAAGGAGATGATATGTTTTATGTATTATATTTTATATAATTTAATTTAAAATGTATTTTATAATGCATTTTTTTATTTTATATCTAATTTTGAGGCTTTTCCACAAGGATGGGAGAGAACACACTGATGACCGCAGTGGTTTGGCCAGAGGCACGGTTGGATGGAGGTGCAGGTTTCCTGGCTACGATACAGACCAGGAACAGGTTCATGAGTATTAATCTGGCAGCTCTACGAAGAGATCTGAACACATTTCTGAAGGATGAAAGCCAGTTTGGCAGCAGAGCTTTGATTACGGTCAAAATGACAGATACAGTCAGAGGTCAAAAAGTGAATGTTTTTCACTTTTCTTTTTCAGAATATCACCCCGTTACAAACACATGCTTCAGTTTTATTGAAATAATACTCCAAGTTCAATACAAGTTAAGCTCTATTAACAGTTTTATACAGTACAACAGTAGTATAAAGTTTATTAAACAGACAAAAGATGAGTTTCAGAGTAGCAAACAAAAGTAAACAAATGAAAAATGAAGCTAGTGTAATAGACACAGTTGTGCTCATAAGTTTACATACCCCTTGCAGAATATGCAAATATGCAAAACGTTTTGCATATTCTGCAAGGGGTATGTAAACTTATGAGCACAACTGTAATTGGAGAGAAAAAAATAATAATTTCTAACTTAAGTAACGAGGAAATAATGAAAGAATTTTAGTTTTGGGGTGAACTATCCCTTGAAAATCTCTCCCACTGTAATATACTCTGATGAACTCTCATAAACACAAAGGAGAGCTGTAGTGAATGTCAAGATTTTCAGTGAATACTAACATAAATTTCATCTGTTTCACTGGCTTTTACAGTGCTTTTATGTCCTTTCTGAAATTTTGTTTATTGCAAAATTGTGTTCATTGCTATTTCACGAAAAAAGAACATTAAAAACGAGTTCAAAATGTCCCTTTTTGTGTTTCACACACACACACAGTCATATGAGTTTGAAACAACGTGATGATAAAATAGATTAACTGTTTACAGCTTGTATTTAACTCACAACATTCCTTAAAGGACATTACTTTACTTGAGCTCATTTACAAAAGCAAAGAACTGTGTCACATATGGCTTAACTTGAGGCCGCGCGTGTGGTAGGAGAAAATTAGCGTGTCCAACAGGAGGTCCAGAGACCACAAATGTGGACAAAGCCAAGGAAATCATGTTGATAATGAAGAG